CAGTAAGAAGGAACTGAGGGACCATTGGCCTTGTTTCAACCATTATACCCTCAGTAAGAAGCAGCCCTGGGGCCCTCAGACATGGCCCTCACAGACACCACTGGCCAAAAGATTCTGATCGCGAGTGCATGGGGTCTGTTCAGATCAAGAGTGGAATATCTATGGATAAGTCCTTGATGCAGAAAGGCTAAGTGACTTGCTCAAGTTTTGGTTATTTTGTTTTAAATACAGGAAGTCTGGGGCAGAGCTGGGAGTACAACCCACATGATCTGAACCCCAGGCATGTGCTTCAGCTAAACAACTTCCTTCCTCTCAGTATTTATCATACAGCTCAGATGCCCTAGCTACTGAAAATCTTCTACCTTCCATTATCAAATTCCTTGCTTTGTGCTATTCTGTAATCTTTACCTGCGTGCATGTTTCAAGTGTAATTCCAAAGCATCTCTGAGCAAACTATAAGCATTATTTAATATCTCCCATTGTGCCCCCCTCCTACTTTCTACAAGGATTTAAAAAACAAACCAAAAACCCACTTTAATCCATTCCCTGAGGAATGACTCATTTTAAAGTAGAGAGTAACACTGTCTAATTATAGCTGCCAGGATTTTACCTGCTCGCTAAACTTCACTCATGCTCTTTGGATAATTGCAGCCTGTCCTGCACCCTTTAAGTTTTTGTTTCCAGCCTCAAAATGCAAGTTAATGGAATCAGTCTTCAAATTCATTACCTCAAGGCTCTTCCCCAATGTATACTTTGGAAACTTAGATGGCTCACAGAATTTTCCCTTTAGTCCCAGTTGTTTCCCCTCCACTAAGCCTGGTTAAAAGAAGACAGTCATGAAGAACAGATCAATGCCATACATCAAGCAGCAGGTCTCTGCTCTGAATGCAAATTAGGCTCTGGCTTCTAGAAGTTTTGTATGCCTACTTTTTTGGGGGAAGGGACACTTTTTTCAGTAAAAGAAAAAGATCTGAGAGCAGCTTATTTTACCAAGCAACCAGAACTAACTGTATTACTGCTAGATCCAATGTAACAGTTTAGTTATCCTTCACAAAATTCTGGTCTCTGCTACAGCTGGGTAGCCCCATTAACTACAACAGGCACTGCACAGGAGTAAATGAGAGGTTGTTTGTTTTTAAATACTCAGCCATAGACACTGCATGCATACACCCCAAAGCAAAAAATATCCCTAACAGTTGTGTAACCTTAATATTCCATACATTTATTTTTAAACAAGAACTCAATATCATTCAATAGAATTCATTGTGCAAAAGTAATGATGTCTCCCTTTAAGGCTATTGCAACCTAAGAAACCCTGCAATAGTGGAAATTAGTCTGGTGAATGAAGTGCTGGGTTATGGAACAGCGTGCTATAACTGTGCAAATAAAGCACATTAATCCTATACCTCCACTTACATCCCCAAGGAAGGACACAGGAAGTTAATTTCCTTGCAGGCTTGGTGGAATTTTAGGGTTCCTGGATTGTATAAAAGGCAGGGAGATGGAAGCTTTTTGAAAAGAAATAAGCTGAATGACCTTCCTGGCACCTACTCAGCAATTCTCTTTGTCTGGAAGACCCATGCATAGCTGTTCCACAGTCCACCACCACCTGAGTTATGCAAAATAGATCAATGAAGCAAGAAAGCCTCAAGAATTCAGGCAAGCCAGACATCTTCCACAGGCATCTGAGATATCAGAGGAGCTGGCAAAAAATACACCTCTCACCACCATACACTGTTCTGATGACAGCCATCCACCACTTCTCACCTGGCTCTTGCCACTGTCTAAGGTATTATCTGTCACGGGGGCCTTTGTGTTAAAAGTGATGTAAAAATCTAAACAGTTTGGATCTCCATTTCATAGGCTGTCTTATTGCAGGAGATTAATCGCAATAGCTGAAGAATACCTCCAATGCACCCATAATGAGGCAGGGAGCATCAGAAATCTCTGTATCCTCGTATCATTTATATTTCACCATTGCACTGTTCCTGTGATACCGAAAAAGAATTTAATAACCAGCTGGGTGCTTCTGTTGACCGAAACAGGAGCTAGAATTAACAATGGACAGGAGTCTCGGTCTCAGGTTCGCCTCCCTTTCCGTATCTATCACTGGGGGTTTATGTTCCCAGATATGACTCAGACAGAATAAAGGTACAACAAGTTTTATTAATGGGGTGGCAAGGACTCCCCAAATAACAAGGTGAGACAAATAAAACAAGGCAGGCTGTATCAATAGGGATTTGTATACAGGAATTAAAATGACAATGACTCTACCATCTCTAGCAGCTTGATTTGATGATGTCTTCTCTTCTTCAAGATGGATGCAGCATGGCAGGGCATCTGGATCCCTCAGATGGGGATAGGACCTCAAGGCAGGAACAGATGAGCGCCTTCTCAGGTAGGATGAAAGTATTCAGGTAATTGAATCCCTCCCCCTCCCTTCACCTGCGTCGTCTTGCGTGGAGCAAGCGATCACTATAGGAGATTAGATAGGTGCATGTAGGTAAATATATCCCCTGCTAAGATGACCCTGGTGGGGTGAATGGCCTATGCTCAGTCACTTACTTTGTCTCAAACAGACAGCAACAAGACTCCACCACTCAGGCAAGCAGCCCGGATCTAATCTGAGCACCGCCTTATATAGACATTGGGTGACTAGGCAGATTAGCTGATTGACAGTAACTACCTTTTCCCGCCTAAACTTAAAAAGGTGCCAAACTCAGAGTGAGGAGGGGACAAGAAGGGTTTACAAAATGGATGCCTAGTTGTCCTTTAGAGGAGCCAAGATGGCCTTAGGATTTTTACCTCTACACTTCATTTGACACTGAACAAGCTTCTTTCCTCCCTCACACAAATCTCAATCAAAACACTCTTTATGGCATGCTCCCCCTCAGTATTTGTGAAGATAGTAATAGGGTAAACTTAAAGAGAGTAGCTCAGGAAGAGAGCAACAATTTATTATTAAACTCCCCCCTCAACCTAGCATGACCATTCTTTTTCTCCTTTTTAGAGGAGATATCTATATCTTACTGGGGTCATAATCTAATTACATTTAGCATCATTGTAGGGGGAAAATACTTGGAAAAAAACCCTCACCACGCTAACAATTAACTTTAAGAAAGAGAACTACACAAGAATGAGGATGCTAGTTAGATGGAAATTACGAAGAGCAATCAGAAGGGTAAAATGCCTGCAAGCAGCATGTAAACTACTTAAAAAAAGCATTATAGAATCTCAGAATAAGTGTACACCTCAAATCAAAATAGAACCAAAAGAATGCCACCATAGCTAATCAGCATAGTAATGGAGGCTGTTAGAGATAAAAAAGGCATCCTTTAATTTGGAAGTCAAATCCTAGTAAGGAAAATAGGAAGGAGCATAAAATTTGGCAAGTAAAATATAAAAGTATAATAAAGCAGGCCTAGAAAGAATTTGAGAAGCAACTTGGTAAAGACGCAAAAACTAATAGTCAAAATGTTGTTACGTGCATCAGAAGCAGGAAGCCTGCAAAACAGGAAGACAAGGCCATTGCAGTGAAGCTAAATGAATTCTTTGCATCAGTCTTTACTGCTTTGCGAACAGGGACCACTAACAGGGAGTTTCAAGAGGGAGTTCTCCAGGTGAAGGTGGAGCAAATATGGAACCCTTGGGGTAAGTAGCTGTCTGTAGCGTGTGTTTGTGTTTGGGGGTTACGTGCTGTGTGCTGAGCTTGTGTTTGTCTGTCTGTGTTTCTTTGTTTGGACTGTGTGCTGTGGCCGGCAGTTGGAAGCTGTGAGCTTCTAAACAAGGTTTGAAATCTAGAAGCCTCTGTTCATTGGCTGAGCCTTAGTCAGGGGACGGGGCTATCAAGAAGGCATGGGCTTTATAAAGCAGTGAGCAAGCAACCAGGGACCGCTAACAGGGAGTTTCGAGAGGGAGTTTGGAAGGGGGCGAGGTACACTTGCTATTCTTTAAAACCTTTAAACTAAATTATAATCAAAACTTCTTGATTTAAACAAAAACCCCATCTTTAACCTAGGTAGCTGTAGGAGAAAATGCAGGCAAAAGCCCAGAAGCAGAGTGGGGGCTATCCTGATTATTGCACTCAGTGTAGCATGTATGAATACCTGCCCTGTGGGCACGTGGCGTATGTGTGCATTTGGTGCAAGGAGCTCCTGGCCCTCAGAGACCGTGTACGAGCTTTGGAGGCCGGGTGGAGGAACTGGAGGAGCCCAGGGAGGCAGAGAGGTATGTTGATGAGGCTTTCCGGGACACTGTAGATTTGTCCCACCTCCAGTCAGACAGCCCCTGCTCTCTTAAGGAGGATGAAAGGCCCAGAGAAGGAGAGCAGTCAACGGGAACAGAGGGAAACCTTTCCATAGTTGGGACCCTCCTTCCAGACGATATTGGGGTATCCTCTCACACTGAGGTTACCTCTCTGGGGGAGGGAACTCCAGTCATTAGGAAAAGGCAGGTGTTAGTAATGGGAGATTCGATCATTAGAGACATAGATAGTTGGGTTTGCGATGACTGAGAGAACCGTATGGTGACTTGCCTGCCTAGTGCGAAGGTTGCGGATCTCTTGAGGCATCTAGATAGACTTATATGTAGTGCTGGGGAGGAGCTGGTGGTCGTGGTACATGTAGGTACCAATGACATAGGGAAGGGTAAGAGAGACATCATGGAGGCCAAATTTAGGTTGCTAGGGAAGAGACTGAAATCCAGGACCTCTGTGGTGGCATTTTCAGAAATGCTTCCAGTTCCACGCGCAGGGCCAAGTAGGCAGGCAGAGCAGGTCGTGGGGGGGTGGGAATAGAGAGGCTGTCAAAATAAAAAACTCAGTAATAGTGGGGGATTTCAGTTATCCCCATATTGACTGGGTACGTGTCACCTCAGAGCGAAATGCAGAGACAACATTTCTCGATACTTTAAATGACTGCTTCTTGGAGCAGCTGGTACAGAAACCCACAAGGGGAGAGGCAACTCTCGATCTAGTCCTGATGTAGAACTGATCAATGAAATTATTTTTAATTGTTCACTTTATTAATATAACTTCATAAGGAAAGATTTATGAATGAAACTACATTCATCATAAAACCGGGTACCCCAATAATGGGCTAATTGAGTTTCACTTGCAATCCAATTGCTGCTTAAATCACTGAAACTTACACTGTTTCATCATTGTAACTTCTGCTCACTGTTTGTCATTCATTATACTATATTGTAACTTCTGTTCACTGCTTGCCATTCCTTACACTTGTCCATATTGTAACAAACTCCATTTTAACTTGTCCCAAACTCCATTTTAAAATGCTCACTCCGTTTTGTAAAAGCTTGCTGCAACCTTCATTTTTGCAAAACCCTGCTGTAATCTTATTAGTTTAGATATGTGAATGAGGTATGTATGGATGACGGAATCAACCTCCAGCCCCAGCCTGTCCTGATGAAATAAAGTGTAAACACCCAACAGCCCTGACAAAGTAAGAGGAGTCCACCCTCAAAAGAAAAGAACAAAAGTACAATTGAAGAAAGATCAAAGCCAGGTCGCAGGTTGAAAGTCATGTCTGCAATTGACGGATGATCAATTACAGCGAACCCAGAGGCAGCCTGACACAGCAAGACCAATAGACTCTGGATTCAAACTAAAGCCTACAAAAAGGATGTGTGAGATGGAAGACTTTGAAGGGCAAAATTCTGCTGCCAACATGGAAGGGCGTCGGCCCAACAGAGACCCAGCTCTTCCTTGTGCCCGGCTTTCCTGGCCAGTTAGCCGCCACAAGCTATGAACCCAAGCTACATTCAGGACTGGTAACTATACAGCAGCTGCAGAACCTGTGTGTGTATATGAATGAATGTGTGAATGAATGTGAAACGGAATGAAATGTTATAGCGATAACTGACTGTCTACTATGATTCTTTTTGTATTCACAATAAATGTGATAATTTATCTTATCCGCTTTAATAACATCCTGCTGGTTTTTATTTTACTGGTATAACACTGAGTGGAGTGCAAGATCTGGTCCAACAAGTAACTATAAGAGGACTGCTTGGAAATAGTGATCATAATATAATACCATTTAACATTCCTGTGGTGGGAAGAACACCTCAACAGCCTAACACTGTGGCATTTAATTTCACAAAGGGGAATTATGCAAAAATGAGGAGGTTAGTTAAACAGAAATTAAAAGGTACAGTGACTAAAGTGAAATCCCTACAAGCTGCATGGACACTTTTCAAAGACACCCTAATAGAGGTTCAACTTAAATGTATATCACAAATTAAAAAACCACAGTAAAAGAACTAAAAAAGAGCCACCGCGGCTTAACCATGTAAAAGAAGCAGTGAGAGATAAAAAGGCATCTTTTAAAAAGTGGAAGTCAAATCCTAGTGAGGTACATAGAAAGGAACATAAACACTGCCAAATTAAACGTAAAAATGTAATAAGAAAAGCCAAAAAAGAGTTTGAAGAACAGCTAGCCAAAAACTCAAAAGGTAATAACAAAATGTTTTTTAAGTACATCAGAAGCAGGAAGCCTGCTAAACAACCAGTGCGGTCCCTGGACGATCGAGATACAAAAGGAGCACTTAAAGACGATAAAATCATTGCGGAGAAACTAAATGAATTCTTTGCTTCAGTCTTCACAGCTGAGGATGTTAGGGAGATTCCCAAACCTGAGCCATCTTTTGTAGGTGACAAATCTGAGGAATTGTCATAGATTGAAGTGTCACTGGAGGAGGTTTTGGAATTAATTGAGAACCTTAACAATAACAAGTCACCGGGACCAGCTGGCATTCACCCAAGAGTTCTGAAAGAGCTCAAATGTGAAATTACAGAACTATTGACTATGGTTTGTAACCTGTCCTTCAAATCAGCTACTGTACCCAATGATTGGAAGATACCTAATGTAACAACAAGATTTAGGAAGGGCTCTAAAGGTGATCCTGACAATTACAGACCGGTAAGTCTAATGTCAGTACCGGGCAAATTAGTTGAAACAATAGTAAAGAATAAAATTGTCAGATACATAGAACAACATAAATTGTTGCTCAAAAGTCAGCATTGTTTCTGTAAAGGGAGATCATGTCTTACTAATCTATTAGAGTTCTTTGAGGGGGGTCAACAAACATGTGGACAAGGGGAATCCAATGGACATAGTGTACTTAGATTTCCAGAAAGCCTTTGACAAAGTCCCTCATCAAAGGCTGTTAGTAAATTGAGTTGTCATGGAAAAAGAGGAAGATCCTCTCATGGATTGAGAACTGGTTAAAAGACAGGGAATGTTATGAATTACACCTGGTAGGACACGCACACAAGTGCTACGAATTACACCTGGTAGGACACGCACACCAGTGCTGCGAATTATACCTGATAGGACACGCACAGTTCGAATCTAGGCTGAGGTACAGAAACAAAGTCCACAACTGCAGAGTTCCCAAAAGACACTAAGTTTATAACGCCTGAGCGTGGTGCCCCCCTGCTAGCCAGGAGGGGACCCTGAATGCAGATTATACAAAGGTTATATACCTTTTAGCAAAGCATGTTGCCCTCGTGCATCGGAAACCTTAGCCAATAAACAAACCCTTGTCTTATCTACCACCTATCCCTGCTTGGTGCATTCCTCATGCTATACCAGTATGTTAATTACACAGCATGGTCCTAAAGCTATGCATCAGTAACTTTTATTATCAGGATGGGAGGCCTCATATCAAGGCCAAGAGACAGGGAGTTAGAGACTGACAAAAACCAGATACTGGGAGTCAAGGCAGGCTGGAGACAAGGAGGAGGATTTTCACAGGGATTCAATATCTAAGGATTACTCCTCCTGGTGTATGATGTGCTGGCATTTAAACAATGGTGGGCCCCAAACCAAAATGGAGTCACATGTGCTAACTTTTCCTTAACAGTCCTCCCTTTTTTTTTTGTACGTCAGTAAGCTATATCGGGGCTGAGTAACCGCGCTGCAGGGTTAGCAACTGCCGACAGCACATACTGCAGCATTGTAGGCATACAAAAAATAACGCAAAAACAATAACAGTCAAAAAAAGTAAATACAAAATACGCCGTCCCCAAGTCCCCACATCCGGTAGCCATGAGGTGAGCCAGTCCCAGACCTCCTGGAATCCGGCTTTGGTAGTGTCGAGGCTGATGTGGTGGAATAGGGCTGCCTGTTGCTTGAGGATGTGGATGTCAGTTTCCATCCTATGGTGCTGATTTACAAATACACAACAGCTTGAATTGACCAGAGCACAAACCCCGCCCTGATTTGCAAGGAGATAATCCAGGGCTAGGTGGTTTTGCAATGTAGTTTGGGATAGCTGGGCGACTTCAATTTGAAGGGCAGAGAGAGCATCTGCAGTAGCATTTGCCATTAGTTCCAAGGCAGCTGAAATGTTAACTATAGCTTTTTCCAGCTCGCTTACTCCCAACCACGGCAGAAACCAACGCACAAAGGAGTGAAAGCCTTTGGGCCGATAAGAAAGGGGGTTTAAAGGAATACTTCGTCGGTCCCTCCATACTAGATTGCGGATCTCTCCCCGGGTCAGGTTCTGGTGTACTGTCACGGCGGGTACTATAGCCCCTAAGGTACATGTACCACACCATCCTGCTGGGAGAACCTTATAGGCTGTGTGATTGCATAACCAATACCAGCCAGACCCCTCGGGGACCAGCCACGGGGTCCTGGAGTAGGTAGAGGGGCCTCCCGCAACAGAGCTGATTTGGGTGGTGTCCTTGCACCCTACAAAATTCCCTACAAAAACTGTATTTTCTATGCCCTTATGTCGTGACACACATAAAGCATAATTACTCTGGGCCACCATATCAATAGACCATATTTGGATTGTAACATTCCAGTTAAATGTAGTGTTTGCCCATAGCTTAGCTTGGAGTGTTCGATTAAGGGGGATAGGTACCCCTACCAACGGGACGCCCTGACCTAAATATGTGGGGGTACGAATACAAATCCAACACTGCGTTCGATTTACACCCTGTTTGATAGCACGGGTTAAATTCAAGAAGCTATTGCCCTCCCATCCTTGTACTGGACTTGGGAATAGGGAGAGAACCCCTCCCAGGCAAACCATACCAATGTCGACATCCTCCCCTGTACTATACAAAAAACACTACCCCCAATGTAAGTCCAATAAACAGGAACACAAAAAGTCCTGGTGGGCTGTGAAGGTCCCAGTAGCTGGAAAGCTTAGTCCATGGGTTGGTCGTGGTGTTCATTCGTGAAGTGGCTCATCCAATGGCTTGTCAGGGTCAGGTGGGGGTCCCAGCACCAACTTAACGTAGCTATGATGGATCCAGGAACCTTTACCTGCAAAGGAGTGGTGGCAGATGGTGGGAGTAATGTTCGTTGCTGTAAGGCGTTTTTGGTATTTATACTTGCCTACAAGCACAGTTCCAGCCTCTGGAATAAACCCACCCCACCACTTTACTTCACATTCCCAAGAATACATTCCGCAACTTTCTCCCTGCCAATGTACAATGCTCTGTCTTTGCCATCAAGGCCAATTCTCAGTGTCTTTTGCAGTCAGGAATCTTTAGATTTTGGTGGTTTTAGCAGAGCAGGCGTTCCTTCTCTCTTGGAACAGGCATGGTTTTGCATTATACAGAGGAGAGGTTACTAGCACGTCACCCTGTAGTGCTTTGGTTTCTTTAGCAAATACTGAATGCAGGTTAGCTTTGTCAGTGGACAAGGGAGAGGTTACTAGCACTTCACCTTGTTTGTTTTTTTTTTTTTTGCTGTTCAAAAGGAGGAAAGAAAAAAAAAAACCCAGAAGGAGGGACAGACTGATCAGTAGTCGAAGTGAAGTCACCTCGAGGTGGAGGGGTCTTTTTGCAGTAAGAAGCATGGGTCTAGGCAGTCAGTCCTTGGCACTTCACAGCGGTGTTGGTAGTTAGCAGGACTTAATAAGGGCCTTTTCAGCATGGGGCCAGAGTAGTATTTTGTCGAGGGACCTTTATGTAGACCCAGTCACCTGGTTTTAACAAATGGCAGGTTTGCTCAGGATTCTTGAAGCAGGACTTCTTTTACCTGTAAATACAGAGACCTAACACATGTCATTAATGTCTGGCAGTGTGTTGCAGATCTCACAGCTGCTTGGGCACATTTAAGCCCCCCTCTTTCTTGGCTGTTAGCCAAATCCTAGCTGTGAGTAGTGTCCTTGGGCAGGCCAGTGTCTTATCTTTGGACCGAGCCTGCCAAGCCTGCCAGCTACAGCGTTGAATTAGCTCGTCCTCCGTTTTATTTTTTTTTCCCCTTCTTGGCTTTTATTAACCTGCAAAGGAAACTTTCACTTTTTACTTATACATTTTTGTTTAAAAAGGAACACATGTACATTGCCCATTATACAGCACTTTAGTCTTATTGTATAATGTATGCCATATATACCCTTCTAGGAAAATGACTCTATTACAGAGCTTTGGAGCAACAAGCCAGGACAAGCACACCCACTTTTGAGGAGTCCACTTGGTACAACTTCTGGTGTCCAATAGCTTTTTTCCCTCCCCAGCCCTCTGGCTAGAAATGTGAGGTAGCCAGAAGGATCTCATGTATAATATGGGGAGTGGGTTAACCTTTGATGTCCTTGCTTCCAAAGACTGTTGGTGTGCAAATTTTAACAACACTTTTTTTAATTAAAAGATCTGGCCAATGAAATTTTTTTTTTTTTACTTAAGCAAATGTATTAAACTTTAGTATATCACATTTTTTGATATTATCCAAACACTTTGTATTCCAAGTTGAATAAAACAAGTATCTGCATTTTGATGTAACCCTTCTATTTAGTTTTAAACTAAACTGTCCTATGAAAAATTAAACACAGCAATTCTGGCCACAAGACAAACACCACAAGACAGGACATAGAACACAGAACAGAATTCCTATTGTGCCAGTAAATTCATGAGATGTTGAATTGCTTTTCAGCTGGCATCAGTTTTCTCTGATTTTCTGAAAGACAAAAATAAAACACAGATCTACCCCTTTTGGGCAGTCAGTCATTGCTTAAAATATTTCCTTTTTATACAAATACCCTTGTTAATTGCAGGCAAAACAGAGGAATTACCCATATTTTCTTGTATTTGTTTTATAGGCAGCCCAGGTTTCAGTGGCCTCTACCTTATTAGTTAGGTAATTTACATTAAAATAAATGCTTTCCGGCTTGCTTTTGGATCCACAGGTTAAAGATTCTTACTTTAAAAAGGGCACAATAAACTTTACCAGACTTTTGATTGCCTTTTACTTTTAACTCCTGCTGTCAAACACACAGCAACCTGAAAAGGAAGACACCACCTATTGTAGCCTCTTGGAACATAATAAGATATTAATTAAGTAGCACTGTATAATTGCATTTCTTTGGAAAAGGGCCCATTTTTTTCCAAAATGGCTGCAAAGAAACCAAGAATTTTTTTTTCTTTTCAGTATTTTACAAAGTTTAACTGCTTAATTCTTTCCATCAACTAAAGAGTTAACTTTTTACTTTTTTTTTTTTAATTTACTTGCTTATTTTTCAAAACGACACCCAATTACTTAGATTTTACCATTTTAAGTATTATTCCGGGATTTACATTTTTCATTCCTGTAATTATTTACTCCTCTTTTTTCACTATGACCTTTAAGTTTTCAACCTGTTTTCCAATCTCTATCTGTTGCCTGCCCGCTTGGGCCCAATCCTGGTTTTTTTTCTCTGAACTGTCCCTTCCATGAGCACCAGCTTTGTTTCACTACCAAATTAACAAGGAGGGTGGGCTTCTTAACTAGCCCCCAGCCCTCCTGGTCTCTTTTTTAAAATATTTTTACTTACAAGGGCTACCCGAGTCCTCCCCACATGAGGCTTGTCACCTGGACTGAAAGCACGGCTAATTGGCAAGCAAGGAGGTGACGGGCATAAGTCAGAAAGCCGAGGGTAAGCCAGAGGAGGGGCAGAAGCAGGCATAGCACAGAGCGGGGCTGGAGACCCCTGAGATGAATAAGAAAAGGAGGAGGAAAGAGGATGTCCTTTTGCATGCGCATAAGCCCAGTTGTCCCATACATACCAATAATCCATCTGGGCTGGAGCTTTGTCCTCCAGCCTCCTTTTAAGCACTGTTAATGTATCCCCAGCAAAGGACCCATCCGGTGGCCATTCAACAGATGTTTGAGTTGTTAGTGCTGACCACTCAACCTTACATAAAATAACAGCTTTTTTTCTGCCTAACCCATGGGTGCCAGAAATATTCCCCCAATTCTTGAGAATTTCAGCCAAAGGGGTTCCCTTACTTACACTCTGCCCAGAACCTATAACGGGCTACCAAAAGAACACAAAATGTGCCACCTTATCGCCTAAGCGACGGCTCCACCCCACCCCCCCCCCCCCCTCGGAGTTCTCAAAGGTGAACTCACCCTGTGCCGGCTGGAGCTGTCCGAGAGGAGGAGTGTAGTCTCGTTTGTTGGGGCGAGCCTAGAGTCCCTTCGTGGTCGCCAAAACTGTTACGAATTACACCTTGTAGGACACGCACACAACTGCTGCGAATTATACCTGGTAGGACACGCACACAATAGACACCAGGACACACACAAGTGCTACGAATTACACCTGATAGGACACGCACACAAGTGCTACGAATTACACCTGGTAGGACACGCACACCAGTGCTGCGAATTATACCTGATAGGACACGCACAGTTCGAATCTAGGCTGAGGCACAGAAACAAAGTCCACAACTGCAGAGTTCCCAAAAGACACTAAGTTTATTACGCTCGAGCGTGGTGCCCCCCTGCTAGCCAGGAGGGGACCCTGAATGCAGATTATACAAAGGTTATATACCTTTTAGCAAAGCATGTTGCCCTCGTGCATCGGAAACCTTAGCCAATAAACAAACCCTTGTCTTATCTACCACCTATCCCTGCTTGGTGCATTCCTCGTGCTATACCAGTATGTTAATTACACAGCATGGTCCTAAAGCTATGCATCAGTCACTTTTATTATCAGGATGGGAGGCCTCACATCAAGGCCAAGAGACAGGGAGTTAGAGACTGACAAAAACCAGATACTGGGAGTCAAGGCAGGCTGGAGACAAGGAGGAGGATTTTCACAGGGATTCAATATCTAAGGATTACTCCTCCTGGTGTATGATGGGCTGGCATTTAAACAATGGTGGGCCCCAAACAAAAATGGAGTCACATGTGCTAACTTTTCCTTAACAGGGAACAAAGGGTAGGAATAAATAGTAAATTTTCAGAATGGAGAGGGTAAGTAGTGGTGTTCCCCAAGGGTCAGTCTTAAGACCAATCCTATTCAACTTATTCATAAATGATCTGGAGAAAGGTGTAAACAGTGAGGTGGCAAAGTTTGCAGATGATACTAAAGTGCTCAAGACCAAAGCAGACTGTGAAGAACTTCAAAAAGATCTCACAAAACTAAGTGATTGGGCAACAAAATGGCAAATGAAATTTAATGTTGATAAATGTAAAGTAATGCACATTGGAAAAAATAACCCCAACTACACATACAATATGATGGGGGCTAATTTAGCTACAACTAATCAGGAGAAAGATCTTGGCGTCACTGTGGATAGTTCTCTGAAGACGTCCACACAGTGTGCATCAGCAGTCAAAAAAGCAAACAGGATGTTAGGAATCATTAAAACAGGGATAGAGAATAAGACGGAGAATATCTTATTTCCCTTATATAAATCCATGGTACACCCACATCTTGAATGCTGCGTACAGATATGGTCCCCTCATCTCAAAAAAGATATACTGGCATTAGAAAAAGTTCAGAAAAGGGCAACTAAAATGATTAGGGGTTTGGAACGAGTCCCATATGAGGAGAGATTAAAGAGGCTAGGACTTTTCAGCTTGGAAAAGAGGAGACTAAGGGGGGATATGATAGAGGTATATAAAATCATGAGTGGTGTGGAGAAAGTGAATAAGGAAAAGTTATTTACTTGTTCCCATAATATAAGAACTAGGGGTCACCAAATGAAATTAATGGTAGCTGGTTTAAAACAAATAAAAGGAAGTTCTTCTTCACTCAGCACACAGTCAATCTGTGGAACTCCTTGCCTAAGGTGGTTGTGAAGGCTAGGACTATAACAAGGTTTAAAAGAGAACTGGATAAATTCATGGAGGTTAAGTCCATTAATGGCTATTAGCCAGGATGGGTAAGAAATGGTGTCCATAGCCTCTGTTTGTCAGATGGTGGAGATGGAGAGCAGGAGAGAGATCACTAGATCATTACTGGTTACGTTCACTCCCTCTGGGGCACCTGGCATTGGCCACTGTCAGTAGACAGGATACTGGGCCGGATGGACCCTTGGTATGACCCAGTATGGTCTTTCTTAACTTCTTATGTTCAGAGGATGTGGGGGAGATTCCCAAAAATAATAGCTCTAATGTGGGTGACAGTTCTGAAGTGCTGTCTCAAATTCATGTGTCAGTAGAAGATGTTTTAGAATAAATTGATAAACTAAATAATAAGTCACCAGGACACCTGGTATTCATTGAAAAGTTCTGAAGGAACTCAGATATGAAATTTACTCTGGAGGGAATTCTGTGCCAAAAAAATGAAAATTATGCACACAATAATTCAAATTCTGCAAATTTTATTTGTCAATAAATAAATATAGAGGCTCCAGCATGGCAGTGGGGAGCACTGGTAACTAGCTACACAGAGGTAGATCACCCTGCAGCCCCTCCCACTCCCTTGGGATACAGATTTGATGGTGAGGCTGCACCCAACCCTGTCACAGTGCAAGGGCTGGGCCTGCCCCAGAGGTCCATGTCCCAGGGGAGGGCTACAGAGTGAGGAAATCTGCATGCAACATAAATTCTGCACACATGCAGTGGTGCAGAATTCCTCTCAGGAGTAGAATTTACAGAACTACTAACAGTAGTATGTAACCGTCACTGAAATCAGCCTCTGTACCAGAAGACTGGAAAATAGTTAATATAATGCTGATTTTTAAAAAGGGTTTCCAAAGAAATCCTGGTAATTAGAGGCCAATTGATTAAACTGAGAATAATAGGTAGTGAGCCTAACTTTAGCACTGGTCAAATTGGCAGAAACTATAGTGAAGAACAGAATTCTCAGACACAAACACGACTTGTTGGGGAAGACTCAACATGGCTTTTGTAAAAGGAAATCATGCCTCACCAATCTATTAGAATTCTTTGAAGATGTTAAGCATGTGGATAAGAGTGATCCAGCTGATATAGTGTATCTGGATTTTCAGAAAGCTGTTGATATGGTCCTTCACCAAAGGCTCTTGAGGAAACTAAGTACCCATGGAATAAGAGGAAAGGCTAAAAAGTTTAGGGACGATTATCTTAGACAAGAGACAACGAAGAGATAATCTGATACGGGTCTATAAAATTGTAAATAGTGTGGAAAAGTGAATAGAAGTGTTATTTACCCTTTTCCACAATTCAAAAACCAGGGGTCACCAAATGAAATTAATAGGCAGCAGGTTCAATACAAACTAGCAGAAGTACTTCTTCACACAGCAAAGCTGTTGGCTCATTGCCATAGAATGTTGTGATGCCAAAAAGTATAACTGAGTTAAAAAAAGAACTAGATAAGTTTATGGAAGACAGGTCCATCAGTAGGTATAAGCCAAGATGATTATGAATGTAACCCCATTCTCAGAAAAACCCTCAACTTGTGACTATCAGAAGCTGGGAGTGGAAAACAGGGATGAAGCACTCGGTCGTTGACCTGTTCTGTACACTCCTCCTGATGCTCTGGTATAGTGCCACTGTTGGAGACAGGATACTGGACAAGATGGCTCATGGTCTGACCCAATATGGAAGCTCTTATGTTCCTATGACATTATAGAGGGAGCAAGCTTGCATAGGAATCAGAATAATAGAAGATTAAGGTTGGAAGAGACCTCAGGAGCTAAGTTCCCTCTAGGCTGCGTGGACAAGCAGCTGCCTATTAAGCCCCACACAGGAGCTCAGAGCTACGACGCAGAGAGATGTCTCTTCCCCAGCGCAGACCTGCCATTGCCGGGAGAGGTGCCCCTCCCAGCTGGCCTCACTGCAGACCTGCTGCAGCAGGGAGAGGCGTCCCTCCCTGCCAGCCCCAGTGCGGACCTACCCCGGACTTGCCCTGGCTGGGGGAAAGGAGCCTCCCCCAGCCCAACCCAGGCCCACTGGAGCTGCTAGGGAGAGGAGCCCCCCTTGGGCCCAGCCCAGCCCAGCCCTACTGGAGCTGCCGCAGCCGGGGAGAGGCGCCTCTCTCCCGACCACAGCCCCAGGGCAGCCTGCACCCCAAACCCCTTATCCCTGGACCAACCCCAGAGCCCGCACCCTGCCATACCCCAACCCTCTACCCCAGCCCTGAGCCCCTTCCCACACCCAGAACCCCTCATCCCCAGCCCCACCCCTAGCCGGAGACCTCACCCCCCCCGCACACACAACCCAACCCACTGCCCCAACCCTGAGCCCCCTCCCACACTCCAAACACCTCGGCCCCATCCTCACCACCTGAATTTTGTTACGTGCACCAATATGAAGGTGATGTGTCACACCTCACCTCCATATTGATGCACATAACAAAACTAATTCCTCACCTGGACATAAAAAATTAGAGGGAACATTGCTCAGGAGAGCATAGAGTCTAACACCCTGCTCAAAGCAGGGCCAACTAAATCATCCCATCCAGGGCTGTGTCAAGCCAGGCCTTAAAAACCTCTAAGGATGATGATTCCACTACCTCCGTCTGTAACCCATTCCAGTACTTCACCATTCTCCTAATGAAACAGTTTTTTTCCGAATATCCAACGTAGACCTCCCCCACTGCAACTTGAGACCATTGCTCCATGTTCTGTCATCTGCCACCACTGAGAACAGCCAAGCTCCATCCTCTTTAGAACCCCGCTTCAGGAAGTTGAAGGCTGCTATCAAATCCCCCCTCACTCTTCTCTGCTGTAGTCTAAATAAGCCCAGTTCCTTCAGCCTCTCCTTGTAAGTCATGTGCTCCAGACCCCTAATCATTTTCATTGCACTCCGCTGGACTCTCTCCAATTTGTCCCCATCCTGTCTGTAGTTGGGGGCCCAAACCTGGACTCCAGACGTGGCCTCACCAGTGCTGAATAGAGGGGAATAATCACTTCTCTCCATCTGCTGGCAATGCTCCTACTAATGCAACCCAACATGCCATTAGCCTTCTGGGCAACAAGGGCACACTGTTGACTCATATCCAGCTTCTCTTCCACTGTAATCCCTGGTGCATTTCTGCAAAACTGCTACTTATCTAGTCGGTCCCCAGCCTGTAGCAGTGCATGGGATTCTTCCGTCCTAAGTGCAGGACTCTGCACTTGTACTTCTTGAACCTCATCAGATTTATTTTGGCCCAATCCTCCAATTTGTCTAGGTCACTCTGGACCCTATTCCTACCCTCCAGCATATCTACCTCTAACCCCATCTTAGTGTCAACAATGAACTTGCTGAGGGTGCAATCCATCCCATCATCCAGATCATTAATAACGATGTTTAACAAAACCAGCCCCAGGACAGACCCCCGGGGGCACTCTGTTTGATACCAGCTAAACATCGAGCCGTTGGTCCCTACCTGTTGAGCACAATGATCTAGCCAGCTTTCTATTCACCTTAATAGTCCATTCATGTAATCCATACTTTTTTAACTTGCTGGCAAGAATACCGTGGGAGACCGTATCAAAAGCTTTGCTAAAGTCAAGATATATCACGTCCACCGCTTTCCCCATATCCACAGAGCCAGTTATCTCATCAGAGAAGGCAATCAGGTTGGTCAGGCACGACTTGCCCTTGGTGAATCCATGTTGACTGTACCTGATCACGTTCTTCTCCTCCAAGAGCTTCAAAATTGATTCCTTGAGGAACTGCTCCACGATTTTTCCGGGGACTGAGGTGAGGCTGACCGGTCTGTAGCTCCCCGGATTCTCCTTCT